AGTATTGAGTGCTGGAAATTAAATAGATCGATATTACATAAATGTGGAAAATGAATAAGAGCAGGAAATACAAGACAAGAATTATTGAAGCAATACAAACCGAAGGTTTAATAGGTTGATGCACATATTTTTTGCTCGAAATCCCTCGTGAATTTTTGAAAGAGAAAAGAGAGCAGTCCCTTATTTACTCGCCTGCTCTTTCGGGAGATTCCCGCCGAGCGGGACCGCTTATGACGAGTTCTATCTGTCAGAATCAAGGACGGAGTAGCAAAATTTAGTCCTCAGCAGGTACTGCGGGATCTTCTAGAGATCACAAAAAGAAGGAAGCGTCGTTTTTGAGATGGCCAAATTTGGCAGCATATTTCATTCGGTTCGAAGTTACTTATATAATTTTTATAAATAATATATATGCAAATATAAATAAAATTTAAATATAAATATTGCCGAATATAAAATTTTTTTATTAACTGTAAATTTTGAGTCGGGAGAAAAAAATCGCGACTTATCGAAGTTTCTTTGCGTGATGAATCTGGAACACTCTGCTTCTCCTTGCCACTTTAATGTTATACTGGATTGCATGCGTTAAGTGTGATTTAAATTTTGGATGCAACCTCATCCGGGTCACGATCAAGGACGCATATGTCACGGTTTCGTGCAGTTGGTCGAAATTGTCTACTTGGCTCGAACTTTTCGCTCATTTCCCGATGCACCGACATTCGAATTTACACTTGACCGACTAACCGGGTTGATAGCTCGCATAACGCACGCTGCGTTATCATCGTAATTCTCGTTGATATCAATTCTGCAATTACAATATTTTTTTGTCGTAATTATAAATTATTTAATTTTTTATAAATTATTATAATTCGCTTGGTGATGTGTATATCGAAGTTTTTATGATGTTTATATTATATTCTTTATCTTTAATCTTTTCAAGTATTTTTTAAAAATTATTTTTTTAAGAAATAGATCGAGAAGAGAAGACGGAACGGACACGTGGTTTTAATTTCAGAGAAACATGTAAATTTTTCTCTCCACTTCTGTCGTGTATGTATTACATGGGTTTCGTCCGACGACATAGTTTGCGTTTTACCTTTCCACCGCTACCGGGAAATTACGTTCGCGGAAACAACTTTGTGAACTTTTGTGCCAATAAAACGAGCGTTCTCGAGGAAAGCGAAAAGTCAAGGTATAACCAAGCGTCTGTTAAGTGTGACAGCGTACACATTTTTAATTCTACGCTATGTTACTTAATCTATACGAAATTATTTTTCATTTTAATAAATTATTTTTCATCTTATATGTGACACTCTAAATTAGATTTCGCCGATAAATTTTCTACAACCGATATTATTAGTTGTCAACGCAAATAAAGCACGTTTTTATCGCACGATATAATCGCGAATTTTGCAGAATACGATCGTAATCTCGCGTATGCAAAAAGTCGAATAAAAGCACAGTGACGACATACTCGTCACAAAAGGGTCATGAATTTTATTTCGATCGATCGAGATCGCTAATTTCTTGGTATATTTTTCTTTATGGCGTCATGGACACACGTGTACGCGATAACCCAGTTTCTGAAAGACAGCGAAGCGACAAACTCGCGGTATTAAGTGAGGAAATGAGAAATCTGGCATTGTGCCAGCGACGCATGTTGCTGAAATTTTTCTAGTGAATCGCACGCGAGAACGAAGGGGAGAGAGAGAGAGAGAGAAAATGTGAGAAAGGGGGTCGAGGAAAATGCAATTTATCGATGCTTCGAAATGTAGATTCCCCGAGAGTATACGCGATGAATAGTAATTTGATATATGTACGGATATGTACGGATTATATATCTGCTGTGCATCAACCTAAATAAAAGTTCGAAATTATCAGTAACAGCTGCACGCAGTTATGATCTTTTGAAATATTATATAATGATACATTGTTACAACGATTTATAAGTACATGATCGAACGCGAATTTTGCTCCAGATCGACGATGACTGATCTTTCGCGCTCATTCTCGTAAACGAGATCGATTGTCTTCCAAGGAGTGTCTTCCGCACCTTCTGTCGTCTTCCCGCGAGCTATTTCTTCTCGAATCGATTAGACCGAGCATCATTGTGCTATACGTGAATTCTCAGACTTGGTGAGACTACGAACGCGGCAAACGTGAAGTTGAAAATAAATTGAGTTAAGCTACTTTTAAGTCGAAAGAATCATTCGAGGATCCCTGGGAATCACGCGCATGAACACTCGGAAGAATCTTGAAATTATTAGAAAAGTCAGGATTTCTCAGAAAGGATTGAAAAAATATTATTATTCCTAGGAAAATCAAGATCTATATGGAGTGAACCTTATTTGAAACGCACGAATATTAAGGACAAGCGAGTCTTTTCAGAAGAGAAGAAAAAGAGAGCGAAATACATAAAGAAATATTATCGTACTGTTAAAAATATAAAAAATCCAAGGATCTAGAACCGTTCACTTGAAGTGAATAAGTATCAAGCGGCGACCCTTCTCGTTTCTGAATCATTAAAAGAATACATAAATCGAGCACGCGAATCAAAGATCAGAAGAGACTTTTCGCTCTTCTACCACCTCGGAACATCGTTGGAACATTCCGTCCTCGATACCTCGAAGAATTATTTAGAGGTGCTCGAAGATAGATTCTCGCGATCCCAGCAGTCTCCTTTCATCTCGGCCGCTCTCGAGAGGATCCGGGACAAGTGTCCCGGCACGTGCTGGCCATAGTTCGATGACAATTGAACAAGATTTGGTGCCTACCCAGCGTGCGTGAGCGGATCCTCAGGCACGAGGGCGGCGCGCCGAGGAGGTCGTCCTCGACCACGACGATCACGACGACGACGACGACGATGCTGCGCTCGCCGGCGCGCGGCGCCGTCACCGTCCTCCGGGAGCCTTCCTCGGCCTCCGCCGCGGTAGCGGCCGCGGCGGCCGCGGTGGCGTCCTCGGCCACTACCGTCTCGGCGCCGCCGACACCGGTGCACCACGGCGGCGCCGGCACCGGTGCTGGTAGCTCGAGCAGCGCCTCCTCCTCGCGTCTCTCCCTGCTCGACACCTGCCACAGGAAGATCAGGCTCTTCGGCGAGCTAGTCGCGTGAGTTCCCCTCCCGCAAACGATCGCGTAGATATGTACATATGTGTATGTATGTGTGCGAGTACCACGATGCGTTTATTGGTACCGGTGTAATTAAATCTCACATCTTGTCACATTCATATTACGATCAAAAAATGAGAAAAATCGAGTATCCGTTATGTAAATTATATACACGGTATATTATAAGCGTTATAAGCAATGTTATTGTACGGAAATGTGATTAGACATATATATATATATATATACGTGTATATATATACAAGAGATATACGTACTGGCTGATTCATGCCAATTTTTTCTTATGCGAAGCTGCAGCTTCTTTCCAGGAGCATGTGCTTTCTAGTGAGCGATTAAAGCGCTTTGAACCGTGTAGACGTGGCTGAACATGATGCTGCTATCGTTATATTGCATGTAATTGCATTTTTCACTGGCAGGAAGCTGGATGTGCGACGTGGCTGCTGTGAATTGAACCAAGCTCGAAAACACAGTATACTCGGAACCAATATTATATTTAGTTCTCACCTATAAACAAAGATATCATGTTAATTACGTATTATCGCGCGATTCACATTAATTGGGACTATCCATGTTTTTTAATATTATTAAATTGATGCACAAAACATTTTTATTATCTCTTTCTATATTCTGTTTTTAAATGTAAAGTTTTATATATCTATTAATTTATACAAAAAGATTTATGATTAAAATATATAGGGTACAATAGAGTAATAACATCCTCTATATTATAAATACGTAAAATGTAGCGCTTTATATTATGGTCACTGATATTACGATAATAGTACATTGCAACAATCATGCAAATTATTTCCACTGTAATATAGCGCCGAACACAACATTATTATTATTATTATCATTATTATTATTATTATTTCGTATTATTATTAAAGAATTTCTATAAAATTAAACAATATTGAAAACGTTCTCTCTGGCGTTCTGTTTGCGCAAAAAAAAAAAAAAA